ATAAATATCGGTACTCGTACTAGATACCGAAAAACTGGTATTGGTGCATCCCTAATAAACTATTTTAAAAATGCACATACAAATGGCCAAACAAGCGTTAAAATTGCCTTGCTACGCTCGCACTTAGGTGTGAATGCACCCTTAATAATATAATACACAGTAAATAATTTGTCCATTGCTTTACACCGGAGAAATAAAATATGAATAAAAAATGCCCTGGGGGCTTATGGAACAGGATTTCCCATGTAACAAGTGATGGAACTTCCTACAACCACTATATTAACCAAGACTAAAGTCCTGTGGAGAATAAAACCTTCATTTTTTATTTACAGTAAACACGAGCATAAAAAAAGCTAAAATTATATTTTAACAAAAGAGATACTACTATTAAGGTTCAAAGCACAGAAAAAAATACCCAAGCACATTCAATTTAAAAAAATTACATATAATCCAAACATTATTTAAAAACAACAATAAAATATAGTAATGCAGTGCACACAAATAAACGTGCATTTATTTAGTCAATAAAAATGGGGTTAACATTCATTTGACTGGTGCAATACTAGTATTTTAAAATCTTGACAAAGTAAAAGTTATTGCACACACAGGTCCATGTAGGCCTATATGGAAACCATTTTAACAGTCAGATTTAAAAGTAAAAGGTAAAAGTGTTCTCTATTTCCATTTTTTTTCTAAATACCTACTACAGGGCCCTGTACTTCTTGCTCCATCGCATCCCAGATGCCAGCCAATCATTTCCGTTTGTCCCCTTTAACACAGGTGGTCCGATCGGGTCTGCCTGTCAGTTTTTCAGATGAACCAGATTGGATGCCCAATGCTAGGGTATGGCCAACTGGGTCTAAACTGATAGGCGCCCGTTTACACACGGTTATTTCCAGTTCCGGACAGGTCTGGAAAAACGATTGGAACAGAGTTCCATTTCGCTGGACCTAATCTTGACAGATCGGGGGGATTCTGATATAAACAGACACAACAGTGCTTGGGTCATACTTCAAAGTACTAATGCCAGAAGCTGTCAAGCAACTTGCTTGAGGAATAAAATTTTCAGAAGCCAGCTTGTTAGATACTATAATATTATCTGTCATTGGGTTACAGTCATATTTGCCAACAGTCTCTTATTGTAGGCAAAGCTGGTATTTATCTGAGTATAAATTGTAGGTTTTGTGAAAATCTCAGATATAGCCTATTTAACAGAAATATTGGAAGTAGGTACAACTACTGCACCTAATTATTAAAGGAGAACTATGACATGAGTGATTTCCACTCACCTCATAGTTCTAAGCCGACCTGTGACAATGAGACTGTCACAGGTCGGCTCAGTAGATCGGGAGGTGAGAGAACACATACCGGGTTCCCTCACCTCTCGATCCTGTCCCGGCTCTCTGCCGTGACAGGGGGAGTGGCTGGATTCCCCTCTCCCCGCTCCGATCTGCCAGCGCTGACTGGCGGAACGGACGGGGGAGGGGGCGGGTACAGCTGGCTCTGCCTCTAGATAGGCAGAGCCAGCTGTCACTCACGCAGCTGGGCGGATCCCGTCATCTAAGTCGGGATCCGCTCCAGGTGCAGCGTCTCAGTATACCGCGAGCTGTAGCTCGCGGTATACTGAGCTTAGGGTAACAGGAGGACGCTAGTTTGTGTCCTCCCGTTACCCCAAGGAGAACTATGGGGAAAAACACTGACCCCATAGTTCTCCTTTAAACTGAAAATTATTTATCTCTAGGTCTGTTCTAAAATGACTGAAGTCAAAACTAACATGCTCAGAAGCTGTGAGACAACAGCATGGGAGCGTCACCTCAACTGAATGGTGTAAATGGCCAGCTACAAGTTGTTGTGATCTTGATATTAGATTCTTGCCAGCTTTGGTTACAAATATGGGTCCCGGTACACAGTTGAAGCGATCTGTTAACTGACTACTAGACTACTCTTCAGTATGAATATGTTAGTTATATATTTTAACTTTGCTCCTAACTTCCATGTCTTCACCACAATGTGTGCGTGGTTTAAGTGTTTATGTGAATGTGTTGGGTTTGGTCATTTCCATGGCTATAGAATAAAGGATGACCCCTAGGTGATAGATATTTCTATAGAGGTGGGGTCTAGGCACCATGTGAGAGCACAAAGAAGATGTTTTTTTTTTACCACTGCTCAATAGTTTCCCTCCTGAAATGTATTTATTGTCCTGTCAACAAAGATATTGATACAAAGTATGAATGAGTATTATGAATACAGGTAACAGAAGAAATATAATAAGCAAAATTAGAGAGGAATCTAAAAGTATTCGACCCTTAGGAACACTTAACCATAATAATGATCTTATTGCAAAGGATCAGTGTATGAATGTAAAGATACTCTTTCACAAACCTAGAAAATGCAGATAAAAGCACAGATAAAACAAGTATTTAAATGCATAACCGCAGGATCTTTCCACATATTTTTTTTCATTTGCCTTACTAGAAAATTAGACTACTCCCTAGCACAGCCTTTCACTCCTTGCACATCATAGCCCTCTCTTCTTCTGAGAGCGCCTAATTACTCTCTGTGCTGACCCAGCTCCTCTGCCCTTCCTTTCATCTGCCTAGTTTACCTTTTATATAGCTGCCTGAGGAGAAGCAAAATGGGGGATACTATAGTGTCATTTGAGTGACAGCTCTGAGTCTGCTGTGTCGGCCACATCCTAGATTGCAGCACCCATCAGCATTCTCAGGATTTTTGGATGTCAACACAGGGGAGGTTTTTACAGGGGAATAAAAAAAACATAAAAACATACAAATACATAAAACATGTTAAATGGTTATATAATTTTATGGAAATATTTTTGTTGAAATTAATATTTTGGTCCCTATAATTGTTAGTTATTACCCTAGCCTACATGTTCATGCATTGGCAGTATGCAAATACTATAATGCCTTATCTATGTTTATGGGGTGTGCTTTGGCATCCAGTCACATAATTATCATTATTAAGCCAAAGACAGCAAATCATCTTAAAGTGACGCTTAGCTCAGGCATTTTCAAGTACCTTAACTATTAACAAAAATGTAGCTTATTTGTGTATCATCTCTGAATTCATGCTGACACTGTCCTTCCTTCTGGAGGGTAGCTACTATTGTTCCCCAAGCTGGTTAATCTTCTGGTTCATTTTAGTCAGTCACTAAGCTGGTGGAGACATCACAAAGATCTCTCTGTGACCGGCTAAGCGACACAGAGCGCAGCCGCACTTGCCAATTACATTCCTTAGATAACAGCTGCAGACCTTGGTGCCTGGGAATCTGCGAGGGAGCGTGGCTGCAGCTTTCCAGGCTTCCCATCCTATCTGGAAGTCAGGCATGTGGTCACATGACCACCTCCCAGGCCCCCTGCTTCATTACTGCACCCCTGCTGGGAGAGGTAAGGGACAGTTGAAGAGATGGGAATCCAGGATGTTTCAGGTCTGTGTATGTATGTACTATATGTATATACACTGAGTGGCCAGATTATTATGACCACCCCATCAGTATTTCGTTGGGCCACGAGATGACTTCGTTGGGCCGCCTCGTGACTCCACGAGATGTTGAAAGGTGATGCGAGGAATCTGATACTGCACTGTTGCCCTTCTGTTGTCTTGTACCAGTCTTGCCACTCTCCGTTCTGCCCTAACATTGACTAGTCGCTGACGGCCACAATTCGCACGTTCAGACCCAGATTTTCGGCTGACCGTCCAGTCTTTAAACACTTTAACAACAGCTACTCTTGAACATTTAACAAATTCTGCTGTTTTGCTGATACTTGCTCCATGGCTCCGCGCCAACAATCATCCCACATTCAAAGGCTGTTAAATCGCGTTGTTTACCCATATCTTCAGAAAAAAATCACTTCTACTGTCGTGGTAAACCTGCTTCCCTATTTATAATGGTCTGGCCCTCTAGCAACTTCAGTGCAAAATTATAGCTAATTATAGCTAATTTGCCTACAAACGTCAGGTGGTCATAATAATCTGGCCACTCAGTGTATATATATATGTGTGTGTGTGTGTGTGTTTGTACTTTTGTGTGCACACCCTAATGGAATAGGCTGCGCACGCTTATGCCTGAGATTGTAGTCCATCACGCGAGCTTGGAGCGGTGGCTACGTTACAACACTCACAGGGATCATGGTAAACAAACGTAGCCACCCTCCAGAAGGAAGACAGTGTCAGTATTAACTCAGAGATGATTTGAGGATCTACAGCTGAGTGATTCACAAACAAGTTACATTTTTGTTAATAGTTAAGGTACTTGATTGCATTTTTAAGATTTATCTCGTGAGTTTAGTGTCACTTTAGATCTATGGGTACTTAAGGGTCTCTGTTGTACCTTCTTTTTAATTAGCTGAGAGTGCCTATAATTTTTTTATAATATCTAAACAACTGATGATGCTAAGAAGATCATTTATTTTTCATATAACATGTGCCCACAGACCAACAAACCTATTGCCAGTGTCATTATTGGTAGATAACCATTTCCTTCCTGGAAAGGCAAAAGGATCATTTTAGATATGCCAACAAATGAATGTTTTTGTAGGTTTCTTTGCATTCTGCTTACATTGCAATGTAACCCATTTACTGACATGTACAGTATGTTGTGGAGCATGATATCTGGATAGCCGTCTAATGAAAAAAGATCAAGCAGTTTTGGTACTGTTGCTTGTCTTAGGGTCACTTTAGTGGACATTCCAGCAAAATTCAAAGTTCAGATTCTACTGTAGTAACCACATAATTACACAAACACAGATCAATCAATAGATATCAAGCTTTAGCAACAACATCAATGGCTCATAACAAACAAGATAAAGTTAACCCTAGATATTAGATTAGGAAGCTATCCAAGATAATTTTAACCATATGCACACATATTCCTATATGATTACAAAAGCAGGCATGGTCGGTAATATATCAATGTATACTCCAGAGTGGAGTCACAGGGTTATATATTAGTTTAACCTTATTGATACACCATGTTAAAAACATTCCTGAACAATTGCCATCTCACGTCTATAAGAACAATAAATGTCAACATCAAAGGACAGTACAGCAGAAGTAGTGTATAGAATTCTCAAATTTTAGACTCTGCTTAAAAAGAACAATTCTAAGTCCTAGTTGTCACACTTCTGAAGATGCATAAAATTATAGTAAAATATTTACCTCTGTGGTATTTGTATGTTATTGTATGCTTTTCACAGATTGCTATCAAGCCACATTAAGTATTTGTCTGATATGTGGTGTGCTATAGCAAAATCAAAGGGCAATGTGTTTAGTAAAAGTATACCATGGAATGTGCTATCATAGTGGTGGTGTACAACTTGAACCCCAGCTTGTCGCAGTCTTGATGCGTACATAAAGCCATCATCCCTTAAGACATCATACATGCATGTAAGGACATATGTTAATGGAAGGCCTTTTAAGTTTTCATCTTCTTGCAACAATGGAGACGATTTTATATCCAAAATTCCTGGGTATTTTTTAACAAAACTTGAGTCTCCATATTCAGGCTTGTGGTAAACGTGGTTGTTTTTCAGGCTATTGGGCAATAAAGTACTCCAGTTTACAAACTTAAATAAATGAGCTTCTTGGGATGGTATATATCTGTTAGAGAGCATGGCTTTAAATAATTTTTGATCGGTGGTGAAATATTCACTCCAAAAACGCACCATGAGTGTCCTGGAAAGTAAAGGCATGTTGCCATTTTCTCGGTAAGATGGCGTGTAAAGATCAAGGGTCTGCAGAACTGGGTAGATTAATGCCTGGATCCTCAGTTTCACTTTGACTTCTGGGTCATGGAACAGCTGTAAAAATCAAATCAATGTTATATTAAACAATTCAAATCAGAGCTTAAATGCCAGCAGCTTTACACATAGTACGGATGTGTTTATTTTTGTTGTCAGCATGAAGAGATTTTCATTTTAATGGGGTGATGCAAAACCTCTTATTTTATCTACTAATTAAAGAATTAAAGTGAAACTGTGTGTGAAAGAAATATGGGAGTTGCCATTGCTGATTTTAAGCAGCTGTCATCTTGATCCTGACTTTCCTATCTAGTGAGTGACTGATGCATCCCCTTAAAGTGACACTAAAGTCAAGAGTTAAACCTTAAAAATGCATTCAAGTACCTTAACTATTAACAAAAATGTAACTTATTTGTGTATCACTCAGCTGTAGATCCACAAATCATCTCTGAATTGGTGCTGACACTGTCCTTCCTTTTGGAGGGTGGCTAGAGTAGTCACCACTCCAACCTTGCTCCCATGATAAAATATAAATACAATACAAAACAATACAGTAAACTAAATATGAGATTGTAGTCTATCATGGGTGATAGCTTGGAGCGGTGACTATTTTTCAACACACACAGCGAACGTGGGGAACATAAGTATCCACCCTCCAAAAGGAAGGACAGTGTCAGCATGAATTCAGAGATGATGTGACGATGTTTCAGCTGACTGATACACAAATAGGCTACATTTTTGTTAATAGTTAAAGCCATACTAAAGGCTATCAATTTTTTACCTTAATGCCTTTCTCTGAATTAAGGTAAAACATGTCTCACTACCTTTTCTTGCCCCCCACCCCCAAACACTTACCTATATTCCACATCCACTGCTTCTGGCTCCCTGACAATCACAGATGTTTCAATGAAGTTTTGGGTTGAAAGGAGGAATCCCAAGGCCACTTGGGGCAGGGTAGCAATAGACTGTTGCACCTGCCCATAATGATACTGAGAGGAGGGAGGAGGTGGTGACAGGGGCATGGCTTGTTGATTGTTATGTGTGTCAATGGACGCATACAACACAGCTCGGTTCCCACTGGGAGAGTGCATGCTAAGGTGTCTCCTTTGCAACCTGCTAGGCAAGGGAGGCACCCGTAAACAGGGGGGGACGGGGCGGCAGTAGATCCAGCAATAAAATAATAAATAAATGAAATGGGAAATATAAAAAAAAAAAAACTGCACAAGTACAAATGGATCTTCTGTGGAGAATGTAACAAAAAACCTGAAGGTTTAATGTCACTTTAAGGTATTTCATAAATTTTTAAGATTTAAATCCGGCATTTAGAGCTCATTTTGTTACAGGGCTCCCCTATATGCGTGTCATATTTTCATCACTCAAAAAAATAACTCAAGTGGAACTATTAGTAACTTTACAAGTCCATACGAATACAAGTCCATAGTCCTACAATGTCACAATATAAAGAAGTAGCATATAAAGAAGTAGCATCAAAACAACACTGTCTGTTATTGTTAAAATGAGTTTTTCTCTGTTAAATTTTAGATATATTTTCAATGCCTTCTCAAGAATTTTCAGATCACATTTTATCCTAAGTTGCCCAACTCTTATTTTAAAATTATTATAATTTATTATAGAAATTATTATAAAATAAATAGCTTAAAGCTCAATCCCAGGCAGATATAGAAAAAGACACAAATTGATTAATATGTTATAGAATTTATTTTATTTAAATGCAAGTAGTGTAAGTACCTGCATTTGACTTGTATAGCCCTGTCTGGCAGCACCTTTAAGCCACAAAAACTGCACAACCTGGGCAATATGACTGTGCCACAAGATCCCAGCTGGAGGGAGCAGAATACCAGGACAAATGTGATTTGCCACATCAGCAGATGGACCTGGCCCCACCCCCACCCACCTGGCACATGAAAGGAGAAAGACAGGAGTGAGGGGAGGAGACCAGAGAGCACAAGTCAGGAGGCAGGGGGATCTTTCAGAGCAGAGCATGCGAGACACACAAGCCCACCAAGGAAAGCAGTGGATCACAAGGGAAGAAGATGAAAGTAAGAGTGGAGACCAGACACAGTACAAATTATCTGACTTCTCCCTGTTGAGGACATAAATCTAAGGGCTCTAGGCACCAGGGACAGTGTAGCTAGCCTCTTGTTTGCCCTTTTCCAGCCAGGACAGTTTGGCCCTCACCTAACAGGGGACACTACTGCCTGTGGTGGAGCTTTTTTAAAGGGGACATCTGTACCCTTTCACTGTGGATAGTTGGGACACTTTGATTCGATACCCTTCTACCTCTGTGAATTATAAATATCTTCCATAGTAGGTTGAGCATGCCGTTATCATAGACTTTAAGAAAGATTTACCCACTGGCCAGTGGTAAGGGTCTAAAAAAAGAGTAGTTAGGCCCCAGTTATTGCAACACTTGGTATCAGCCTCTTGCAGTCTACTGTACTGCCTTTATAGCAGAGCTTAGAGAATGGGTGAGAGAAGTAGTTTGAGTATCCAGTTAGGCTTGCTGCAGTGCATGGCGTCATTCAGATAACAGGAGAGAGCAGAGGGACAAAGATCTGAGCTCATCAGTGTTTCTGCTTCTGTTTTTACTGTCCAATCACAGGGTGGGGTGGTGGACTTATAAGTGAAAGTGAAACTGCAGCAGATAAATATGAGATATCCCCCCCCTTCCAAACAGGGTTGTAGTGTGTAGCAGAGCTGTGTAAATTTCAGGACTTAATGGGAAAAATACAAATCCATTGGAAGAAAAAATAGCTTCCTTATATGTATTTGATCTCTGTATTGAACAGTTTTCCTGGAGATCAGCTTTAAGACTGTAAGCCCTCAGGGGCAGGGCCCTCCTTACCATCTTGTCTTTAATTGTATTGTGATTGTAATGTCTTCCTTATATTGCAAAGCGCTGCGCAAACTGTTGGCGCTATATAAATCCTGTATAATAATCATAAATATCAGGAATTTTCCAGAATGTTGTGTGATCTGTGAGACAAATGTATATTTGTGTGCTCTGTCAAAAATGTTCCAGTTTAATCATAACATGTGACAATGGAGTTGCATAAGTCTAACAGGATTATTCACTAAAGGGTGAAGAGTTTGGAGAAGGCAGGAGAAGTGAACAATCTAGGACCACATAGCTGAACTGGAAAGTGAGCTAAATTTGAGAATGTTTCCAAATCGGCTATATTGCCCGAGATTGTTCACTTCTCCTGCCTTCTCCAAACCCTTCACCCTTTTGTGAATAATCCTGTCAATAATTAATGTGCAAAAGAACAGACCTTTATGAAACATTTCAGTGATCATGCAGCAACCATTATATTTTCACCAAAACAAAGGGAACAGTTCCTTTGGCACATGAACTGTTAAAAAGGAGTTAATAATAGTGGGCTCACTCCAGTCAATATAGGAAATCCGTTGGCACACTCAGTATTAACTGAGTAAGAAAAATGGTGATTGTGGCAGATCCTAGTAATGAGGCAAATCAAACATGACTTATTGCCAGAGCTTGTGTAGTTGGGCAAATGCAGCATGCTTTGAGGTGTGTTCAGCCTGCATTTGAGATCAGTTTGAGACACATTTGAGATCCCTGTGCGTTTCCTCATAGGCAGGGGTGTAACTACCAATCATCAGTGAAGGGTATTGATTGTTAACCTTAATTTTCTAGATAACTACCATCCTCATTAACAAGCTGGAATATAGGAGTTGGCAAAGGGAGCAGTGGGCATCAGATGTTGGATGGTATCATTCACCCATCTATACGAGTTATTTTGTACATCTATTCATTTTCAGTTCGAAGGGTGAGCATACATGTGAGTGTGTTAACATTTGATAAAGATTAAGCACTTGCACATCAGTGATGGTAGATTTTGCAATCATTTTATGCAATTCTTCCAGAAAGAATTGGCACGTTTTCCGTTGCAGAATTTTAAATAAAATCATTTATTGAACTAAAAGTCTTACCGTTTGTGTTATAGCTGCAGCCAAGTTTCCACCTGCACTGTCTCCAGACACAGCTATGCGGTTTGGATCAACTGAGTATTTATCAAGGATGCTTTTCTGTAGAAAGAACCTAACTACAGCATACACGTCATCAAACTGTGTTGGAAAGTGGAATTTGGGAGCCAGTCGGTAACTAAGAAAAAAAGAAACCACTGTGAGAACCGTTTTGTGAAAAAGCACTGTAAAATGTTGGAAAGCATATTTTCACTTGTATGACAGATTTGTGTACATGAAATCATCCAGAATGAGAAATTTTAACTAGTGACATAGGCAAAGTTAGTGATCTCCAAGCTTGATAAAAGATGTAACAACACCTTGTGGGCTAAGGTAGTTTCATAGGAAAAAAGAATGCTATGGGTATTCCCCAAAATTGATACCAGACCCTTATGCATGCATGCAAACTAACTGTCCAAAAGAGAGCGGAGGCAGCAAGTGTGGGCTTACACCATTCTTGAACCATACCAGGCCACATGCCCTCATCATGGAGAGATTTCCTTGCCAGGGGGGCCCAGTGGATTTGGGGGTCTGAGGGGAGGGGGAGGGCTAGTTTCAATTTTAAAACCCTCTTTAAAATAGGGTGACCCCGGATGTCCATCCTCCCCATAGTAAATAAGTAAGGGCTACATAGTACCCCTGGTTACTCATTCACAAAAAAATCAATAGTAAATAAACACATCTACATCTTAGAAAAAGTTCTTTATTTAGAAAAAATTAACAATGCCCCACAATGTAAATTCAACATCAATCGCAACATCCAGTGATATAGATCCAATATCAATTACGAGGAATGACACCCCAGTAAACCCACGGAAGATGTTGAACTGCGCAATGAGGATCCTCTCACACCAATACTCTCTTCACAAATGACAGCTAGCCGGCTGGACGCCGAGTGTTAATATCAGTGTTAACTAATCGCCACGCATCCGGCTGATTAGATAACACCGATCTTAAAAGTGATCAGATTGGTTTCTTTTTCTTTGTTGAAGATCAAGAGTTTTGTCATTGTGCTGAAATCTATTGTTATCTAACCAATTAACCAGGACTTAACTAAAACAACATGGTTATTCACAAAAGGGTGAAGGGTTTGGAGAAGGCAGGAGAAGTTTGCAATCTAGGACAAAATAGCCGATTTGGAAACATTCTCCAATTCAGCTCACTTTCTAGTTATGTTGTCCTTGATTATTCACTTCTCCTGCCTTCTCCAAACTCTTCACCCTTTTCTGAATAACCCTGCAAGTTTTTATTTCTTTTGTAATCGGCAGATGTTCAGTAAGGTTTTTCTGAGAAGTAGTCATCAGTTTGAAAGGCAAGAACTTTGGTTAATCTGTAATTTTCTACTCTTCGGAGTATGTGCATGGAGATTTGTACCAATCTGCATAAAAATTCAAATTTATTAATCAGCATTGCCTATGCCTAAACTGTGTGGCTCTGTAGAGATCTACAGGCAAATATTTAAGAGGAACAAAGAGAAAATTGAATGATTCTCATTATTTGATTGTGTGGATAATGTTTAGTGCTCGGGCAAAGTTCATTACTGCAAGCAAACATTGGTGAAGGGCAGATTTGTATTACAGATTCATATTACTTGTAAATATCACATATTATATGGTCAGCACTCCAGCTTTTATAATTATAAAGAAGAAAAGCAAAAGCAAATTTATGATAACTGGCTGCCAGACGGGAATTAATTTCACACCGTGGGATATCTTGACAGGGCAGTAACAGTAGCACAGATTTCATGGAGTAGAAATATTAAAAACTCAAGAGGCCCAGAAACGGATCTGCCCCTGGAGTATTATTGAATCTTAATCCAGCTTTACCCTGCACAAATTAACAGTTGTTCAGACATTTAAATTGAAGGAATTAGAAGCCATAGTTTTGCATTTTTCAAAGTTCATCCTAATCATGGTGATCCTAGCCTTTGTTTAAATGCAGATTTTTCACATGCTTATTTAAAATCTGCTCTAGCATTCAATTTAGTAAACAAGTAAATGTGAGGCTGTCAGATAAAGAACAAACACAACCTACTTGATTGACACTACCACCGCGCTGAGCTGATGTGCTGTTTTCCTTGATAGAAGATCATATGGCTTCATGGCTGTAATTAAAAAGGATCAAAGTGATATATGATATAAGTAATAATCTGCATTCCAAAGTATATGAAAAACAATATATAAGATTGTGTCCCTTGATGATTATATATATATATGCACAGCATAGAGTATACATATACACTATAGTGCCAAAAGTATTAGGACGCCTGCCTTTACACACACATGAACTGTAATGGCATCCCAGGCTTAGCCGGTAGGGTTCAATATTGAGTTGGCCCACCCTTTGCCGCTATAACAGCTTCAACTCTTCAGGGAAGGATGTCCACAATGTTTAGGAGTGTGTCTATGGGGATGTTTGCCCATTCTTCCAGAAGCGCATTTGTGAGGTCAGGTACTGATGTTGGACGAGAAGGCCTGGCTCGCAGTCTCCACTCTAATTCATCCCAAAGGGGTTGAGGTTAGGGCTCTGTGCAGGCCAGTCAAGTTCCACCACCCCAAACTCGCTCATCCATGTCTTTATGGACCTTGCTTTGTGCACTGGTGCACAGTCATGTTGGAACAGGAAGGGGCCATCCCCAAATTGTTCCCACAAAGTTGGCAGCATAAAATTGTCCAAAATGTCTTGGTATGCTGATGCCTTAAGAGTTCTCTTCACTAAGCGGCCAAGCCCAACCCCTGAAAAACAACCCCCCACCATAATCCCCCTCCACCAAACTTTACACTTGGCACAATGCAGTCAAGCAAGTACCGTTCTCCTGGCAACCGCCAAACCCAGACATGTCCATCGGGTTGCCAGACAGAGAAGCGTGATTCATCACTCTAGAGAACACGTCTCCACTTCTCTAGAGTCCAGTGGCGGCGTGCTTTACACCACTACATTCCACACTTTGCATTGCACTTGGTTATGTAAGGCTTGGATGCAGCTGCTCGGCCATTAAAACCCATTCCGTGAAGCTCTCTGCGTACTGTTGTTGTGCCAATCTGAAGGCCACATGAAGTTTGGAGGTCTGTAGCTAATGACTCTGCAGACAGTTGGTGACTTCTGCACACTGTGCACTTCAGCATGCGCTGACCCCGCTCTGTCATTTTACGTGGCCTACCACTTCGTGGCTGAGTTTCTGTTGTTCCCATTTGCTTCCACTTTGTTATAATACCACTAACAGTTGACCGTGGAATATTTAGTAGCAAGGAAATCTCACGGAACACCTGAATCCATTGATTTGGAGGGGTGTCCCAATACTTTTGGCAATATAGTGTATGTTTATAGTGACAACCTCCTCTTAAAAACTCTACATCTATTCCTTCAATCAGCTCATCCCTCACAGTTATAACCTTCCCCTCTCACAAGCAGGGTCATTCTATCCTTTTGAATGGTGTTGTATTGTACTTATACTGTCTCCCCATATGTTGTAAAGTGCTATGCAAACTGTTGGCGCTATATAAATCCTGTATAATAATAGTACAAGGTATATTACATTTTTGTTTTTGGGCTTAGATATACTTTAACATTCAGAAGAAAAGTGTTATTTTCCTGTCAGCAGTACAGAAAAACCAAGGACCTTTCTGGGAATAAAAAACTGAAAATAAGCTTGCACGTATGGATGCTGTAAAGGGTATCCATAGCTTCAATGTATAGTACTAGAATCAGTAACTAATAAAGGTATGTTCCTTCCCACGTTTGGAGCGCTGTGTATATAGGCCATGACAGGCCTTTAATAATGACTGGATGAAATATACATACAATGGGCGTACACTAAAAAAACACTCTGTGTATTTGTTATTACATGCCAGGTATGAAAATGAGAGTTATATTGCACCAGCTTCAAAGGCTGCAACAAGCAAGACAATATTTCTATCAAATCTTAATTAAAATAAAAATAGACAGCGCAATTTATAATGATTGATTAGAGAAAACCTGAGAACATGTTGCCTCGTGTGGCACAAGCTTGTCCAAATATTGTAGTAACCTTAATTACCTAAAGGCATGGCTGATAGCATGTTCTTGTGTCATGACCTAGAGAAAATCAAGCAGCAGCTCATTCTGAACCAGATGTATATGACTAAAAACTAGAAAAATATTTCTGAAGCCGATAGCAAACAGCCTCTCCTTCCCGTGTCTCCTCTGTGTTATCCTGGACCAAATAGAGTGGGTAAGCTTTTTTCAGGTGCTTCAAAGTTTTAAGGATAAGCATCGGAACATATAACTATTGCAAAATAACATATGAAGTGGTGTTATACAGGGAGTGCTGACTGTTTACTCAATGCTTAAAACAGAAGTCCAGTAAAAAATAAAAAAACCTCATTAAAGATGAAGTTAAAAGAAAAGAAACAGCTGCTTTTGCTGCAATAGTCAACTTTAATCTGGGTCTGTCCCCTAGCAGTACTTTTTTCTACCACTAGATGTCCTCAGTCTTCCATGTTCTATGACAGCCAGCATCGTTCAACCCACTTCCCCGGAGGCCAAGCTCCCATGGACCTGCCTCCAGTCTGTGTATAAACAGTGAAGGAAAAGCAGCAGTGATGAGCCCATCTCTCTGTCACTCTGTTCCCTCCACCTATCAGCATGCCTCTTGTCAGCACATGTGCAAATAGGTTCCCCGTGCTGCTTCCTCCTCTATTAGTCTGAGCTCCTAAAAATGGACTGCAAAAGGCTGATACTAGGTCACATTTAGGTACTTATACAGTTTGCAAATTACATTTGTATTATAGAACCACATTCATTTGTGTCATTTATAGCTGCCTGGAGTAAAGCTTTAGAAATTACAGCTAGAATTTGAATGGTTTCCTTGGGGATGTTGACTTTTTTCTCTACTACATATATGACACCTTTTTAAGCAATCAGTTTTATTCATATATTAAAAGGAGAATTATGGGGTGAGTGGAAAAACACTCATCCCCATAATTCAAGCCAACCTGTGACACTGAAGCTGTCACAGGTCGGCTCTGTTGATGGGTAAGTCAGCTAGCACGTACCACTGATCGCTGACTTCTCGAGCCACTCTCTGCAGACAGCAGTGACTGCCAGTCATCACTCCTCCATCTCTGTTTCTCCAGCACTGACTGGAGGAACAGACGGGGAGGGGGCGGGTACAGCTGGTTCTGCTTCTAGAGAGGCAGAGCCCGCTGTCAATGAGCCAGCTGGGTGGATCTCGACAGGCAATAGTCTGCTATATACTTCATTTTGGGTCACCGGAGGACATTAGTAGTTACTTTTCTCATCATTAGGCAGAAATATAAACACCTCTGTTTTAAAACAGCACTCTTCATCTTCTTCAGTGTGAATTTAGGGAATCATATTATATACCAATGCCACACATAGTATTGTTTTAGATGCTACTTACCTGCACTTCCTAAACACCATCCACCACCATGAATGTAGATAACGGCTCTCCTCGGTCCTTCTGATTGTCGTTTAGGCACATATAATCTCACAGGAACATTGCTGAATGATGTGTCTGTGACAGTAACATTTTCATCTGAAATGGGTTCTGTATGTTCCACCTTTGTTAACAGCATCATGACATCCATGTAATGCGTTACCCCAAGCAGCTCAGCTAAATAACCCTGTAATGCAAATACAAACAAAACATTGTCATTACAGATGTAGCAATAATGCACACATGAAAAACATCCAATAAAACTTGAAAAAAGTGAAGAACTTGCCCATAACAACCAATCTATGGACTATGGACCAGTTCTTCACTTTCATGAAGAGCTTTTTTTGTCTTGTTTTTACATTTAATGTAATATGGGACCTATCTATTGCACGTTGAATGTTATCATGGAAAAAAAACTCAGCAAGAAAAAGCAGTTTAAAAAACGTCCAGCCAAAAATAAAATAAATAGCCTTTTAAGGGACCATTCACAACAACAGGTGAGGGCTAAGTTGCACACCTCAGGGGGCAGGCACCTCATTGGGTGGTGTGGCAGCAGGAGCAGAAAAAAGCTCGCAACACCCCCCCCCCCCCCCACCGGGTTACAGCTCGGCCACCCGTCACCTCCCCTCACATCAGCGGTTGACAGCTTGGATGATTCTGGACTGAAATAACCAGATTCTTCCCTCTTCTCCTTGCCACATCAGGCAGTAAATAAGGTAAGGATGCCCATCCTGCATGCACCTGTTGGAGTGCATTGTGCATGCATACTGTGATCCATTGTACAATGCATAGTAGTGCTTGCTTTTTTTAAATAGTTTATTTAATTTGGCAGTTCTATAACTCTATGTGGTTACAGTCCATATTTGCCAGCTGAAAGAAGGATTATGAGTAAAGAATTCAGGGAATCCCAAAATGATTGGAAATTTGGGTAACACAATGAGCTGACAGTTTCGCAGTGGCTGGGTTCCATTTCAAGTTTAAGATGAATAGTAGACATGTGCACCAGCAAAAAATTTGTTTAGTTTCTTTTCGTTTTTATTCGGATTTTGCGTTATTTCGTTTTTCGGGATTCCGGTCCAAAAGTTAATTTGTTTCAGATTCGAACGAAATTCGTTAGCGCTAGTCTCTACGGATCGGGGGTCTAGTAGGAATGTTAGGGGGACCCCACATTTTTTTCCCATTTTGGGGGGCTGGGGTTTTCTACCAGACCTAAAAGGGCCTAGGATGGATTTTGGGGGGAACCCCATGCACTTTTTTTTTGTTTTGACTGGGGGGGAGGGGGGGTCCCTCCTAACATTCCTACCAGACCTAAAGGGTCTGGTAGGAATTGGGGAGGAACCTAAGCCTTTTTTTTCCTCTTCTGCAGACTGTAAAAAAAATGTACAAATGTTTTTCTCAAATGTCACTTTGCTGCAACTAACGAACGAAACGAAAAAGACGATTCGTAAAGACTACCGCTAACGAATTTCCGAATCGGAAATTTGGATTTGTTTACATTTGGAATTTGGAATTCGGATACATCCGAATCTCTGAAATTTCATCCGAATTTCAATTCGAAACGAAACAAATCGCACATGTCTAATGAATAGTCTTCAGTATTTGGCCATGAAGATAAAGGCAAACAATAAACAGTTTCTATATCAATAGGTGCAGATTTATTTCTCATTTCTATATTACTTTTTCATGTGAATGTCCATGAACGTTTCCTCAGCTCCAGAGTCCAGCATAGCGGAGCAAGAAATGTTATGTTTCTCAAGAATAAGTTGGATATGAATGCCAAAATGTTATGGTTGAGAACAAATTTTATTTTCTTCTTGAATTAACAGTGAGACAGATTGGTTGTATAGAATGTATTTGTTTAGACCCTTCAACACCAGTCACAGCAATTGTTCTCTTTAATTTGTGTGGTTAGTTAACAATATAACATCCAGAGTCCCCACTGTGAAGACAGTTCTCCAAAAGCTGTCTCTCCTTCTCCTGAACACATACATTTCCTTATTGCAACAATCTGCATAGGTTCCGGACTGGTGGATTTTGGGGACTGATTGAATAAAAAACAAATGCATCCAATACAAATGCTAGTTCAGTAAGTCACTTTTCAGTTCAGATACATAATTGGATGAAAGTCTCAAAATCATTCTGAGCTTCTACACTGGCGAGCTCATTTTTAACTTTTTCAGAGAGCCCTGGGCGGAAGTGACTTATTGTGCTGGTGGATTCCAATCTGCAATCCAGCTTTGAAATTCAGTTATATATATTCAGCAACAGAACATTAACCCTGCCACAAACTGTGCAACTTCAATAGCAGCACAGCATTTGGGATGATCAAAAACTTAAAGCACTGTCCTGCTCCACATAAGGGGAGGCCCAAGTTCGGAGGACTTCTCTATTCAAGGTTAATGATAAACAGTACCTTTTTTTTAATTCCAGGTTTCATCTGGAAGTATATACAATGTGTGTAAGGGATTCTCTGTGATGGCAGCAAACCCATTCAATTTAAGTGGTAGAAACATATGAGCATTAGAGTCTACAGCAGTGCTATCTCAAAAGCGTAAATCCAGTAGTTGTCTCCGCAACTAATTGATCTCCTCTTGTTGACCTTTCACCACATTTTGTAGTTCACAACATTTCTCTTGGAAAGTAACATCAAAATTTTGCAACTCTCAATTTGCTGACTTGTAAAAGGTCATAGCAGCTGCTACAGCGAACTCCATGTTTCGGCAGGATTTTCTGTCATGATCTGGTATCGTACGTGGATATGGACAATCATTAAAATAAGTAAATAAGGACACAGTGTAGCAGTAGCACCAAAGAGCAAGGAACTGGCATAAACACAATAGGGTGGTCAACTGGAAATGTGGGGGCATGGTTTATATAGGAAGTTTAGGGAAGAGCAAGGAGTTCAGAGTTTCTCTTTGGTGCTCTCTTATGACCAAACCTGTTTACGTCATCTTCCTACAACTGCTGGCTATACAACTGTTGTGAACTGTGCAATCTACAGAGTGATAATGCAGGCACCAGGTCACTATTTAACCTTCACCTTGTCCATTCAGTCTCTGCCCTTGCGTTTGTTCTGATTAACCAAGTGTGCTGCTATTGTTCCTGATTTCTGTGTATGACTCAGGCTCTGGCTGACTGATCTTACCCCCTTCCTTCACCACTCACTGTCCTTTACCACCCAATACAAAATATTTCCCTTATCCTCTCTGTCACAATTCAGATTGCAACAAAACACTCTTCTCAAAAAAATGAGGACGGGTTAGAACTTCTGCCAGGTTATTAATATGATCATATGCCTAACGGTCCCAGTGACAACCACTTCCCTTATTTTTTTGTCTTACCATCACAGGGACAGGAATTGAGGTAACATTTCCCAAACAGGGTTACAAACAGGACATAAAACCTGACAGAAATGTTTCCTCTTCCAAATGCCCAAAAACTGTAGCCGGAGTTAGCTGGTGTCATTCTGCACAGGGGAAATCAGTGAACACATGTCCTCTGGTCCCCTGCCACTCTCCATCCTGACACTGGCCATGGAGGTCTCGGCCACCCAGGAGTGACAGGTGAGCCCAGGACACATGGTGGTGGAGGTCAGGCGGGGGAAAGGGAGAGCACATGGGCATGGATGTGGAAAATGTAAATAATCTGTTTACAGGTTAGTGCTGACTCTGGCTTATGCCTTATTGGAAACAGTGAAAAGGTTAAGAGAAGCAGTGTCAGTTTAATAAATCACAAAGAGGAGGTGTTTAAAAGATAATAATTTCCTCATTTCTTTCGTGCAGACTAGCAAATGAAAACTAGCAATTGATGGTTCATCATTTCCCTTAAGCTGTTATATATTTTAATAAATGAGCATAATTTTTTTGTGTGAAACAAGAAGCTGATTAAACAATACTGAATATTAATAAATATTTAGCAGAACTGTGTTCATGTTTTTATTGTAGATTCTCTCCATTTCGCATCAGTGTTTATTTCCGCTTGTGAACATTTGGTTTAAATTGTAGTTGCGCAGTATGTAACTAAATTGGCTAATCAAAAATGATGCAATGCCAATGTTTTTTCCCGGGATAGGAACCACCCTGATATGTACTTGTATGTTTGCCCAGTGCAAGCTACAACTGCGTGAATAATTCTATAATGCTGATTTATTTGTTAGGGAGATACCATTTGCCAAGATGTTTGTATCTGACCTAACCTTGAAAGACATTGTTCTGTAGCACGAACAAGAGCATTGTGTTTAATGCTATCTAAAACTTTGCTGGCTATGTCTCAAATCTGCAAAGCAAAGTTTTGCCCATGAATAACAAAAACCCTGATTCAATCATGTAGGTTTGCCCAGTGTTTATAAAAGATTATATTTCAGTATGTACTTTCTGTCTTACTTTAACAAAGAAAAACTTTTACCATTTGCTACTGCAGAGAAATGTTAGTTTAAGGTGTAGATAAAAATGTATGACACTTTAAATGGTTTTTCCACCCTTTAATAAAAATTAAAACCACTCCGAATGATTATCAAACATATTTGCAAATATAACATTTCATCTTTTTTATGCCTTTTCAGGTCACATTTCAGATAAAGTCATCTGCACCAAATGGTTCACTGCAAAAAGAGTAAAACATGCCTGGCATCCCTTCAGATATGCATACACTCTAGGTTAGCTCACTGTTGGCCATCAGGCATAAGCTAGAACTTTTGTCCCAAGACACCATATAACAACAAAAACATTGCAGTTTTTCTCCTCTTTTTCTCCTCTTGCCTCAGCATATTTATGTGCATGCTTTCTGGTACTTGTGTTTTATAGCAATGATTATGTTGAGATTATGATGAATGAGATTTTCTCTCACTTCCTGTCCTGCAGACAACAATTTACAAGACGGAAAGTAAGGGAAACTCTTCAACAGCAACACAGAGAGAAATAAAAATGTTTAGCGGATGGTTAGGGAGAAAAATAACAAAGATATATTCACCTGATGCTTGAAGCCACCTGTGACAGCGCTCCCTCCTGCCGCCTCCTCCTCCGCTGCAGTGTCTTCATCTCCTATACACTGTGTGTAGAACGTGAGGACTCACAGGACCTTAGACTGCTGCAAGCTGACGCCTAGGATCAGGTGACTATAACTTTTTTATTTTCCTCCTTAGGCTGGACACACACCTTACAACCATCACAAGACTTTTGTCTTGCGATG